TGGGGAAATGTGCTTAGATCTGTTCTTTTCTACTTATTTAGTCTCATTCTAATCTATGTTCTCTCCCTTTTCAGATCTCTAGTTACTACTACACTACTAATCCAAGCTCTCTCTCTACAGCTACCAACTCAGCTTTTAATGTGTGAAACTTCCAGGGAAGTTCCAGACAGGGGGAATGGAGGAGCTCAGGAAATTTTACCCCAAAATATGACTCCTTGGTATAAAGAGTATTTTGAATTACAGCCCTTGGAAATAAAAAGGTATTGGAAGGGGCTGCCCCTCTATCTGCATAAACCAGACTGACAAATCAAAAGATCAAAGGGGCAATTGACTTCCCTTCCTCTCCCTGTTATCTCAGTATATTGTAGGAAAAAATGACCAAGAATGCAACCAGACCTGGCTCAAGTCCTTTAAATATAATACCTATCCCTCAGGTTAATTTAATTTGTGAAGAGAATCATTTACAAGTCAATCTGTCTCCCTCAACCATTTGTCACTCCTAAACAGAGTTACCTGTACTCCTCATCTCCCTCTCTGCTCCAAAAAGACAGGTATAAAAATATGTGAAATTCACTGGGATATGGGGAATCACTCTGTGGTTCTCTCCATGTGCACGGTAAATAAACATTTCTCTTATTAATCTGCCTTAATTGTGAGTTGATCTTTCAGTGAACTTTGAGGAGAAAGGACAAGTTTCTCCTCACCCCTACAATATAAATGGATTCCAGTCAGAAATGTGGATACGCAATACTTGGATATCTTGAAAAAAATCTCCTGGGCTGACATGTATTTGAGATAGCTATTATTACTGTGGGTAAAAAACTAGTGTTAGGCTGTATTTAGAATCTGATTAGGGGTTAAGTAAAAAAAAAAAAATCACTGAAGTGATTTTTGTTTTATGAAATTTATATCTTTACAATATTAATGTAAACATTACTCATTTTTTTGTATTTATATAAATAAGTAAATAGCCATAATATGCTTAAATACATACCCATATTCTTTTATCCTTACAAAACAATATTTGAGACAGAGGCACAAGGAAACATTTTATAAACTGGATACTCAATTTTGTCTGTTTTGTGGCAGGATGAAGATTATTGTTCTGTAGGCCCCAAAGTAGAGAGGTTCTATGTTAAAGAGTTTTGGGTAAGGGTGGGTTCAGGGAGGCAAAGACATTGTGAAATGGTGAGAAGACACTTGAAAAGGAAAAAAAAGAAAAAACAGGACTGGAACACTTTCCATTCCTTCATGTGATGATTAATATTATGTGTCAACTTGACTGGAACACAAGGTGCCCAGATATTTGGCCAAACATTATTCTGGAAGTGTCTTTGAGGATGTTTTGGACAATATTAACATTCAAATCAGTAGACTGAATAAAGCAGATTGCCTTCCCTATTGTGGATGGACCTCATCCAACCAGCTGAACGCCTGAATAGAACAAAAAGAATGACCTTCTTGAGAGTAAGAGGATATTCCTTCTGTCTGATTGTTTGGCTTGAACATTGGTCTTTTTCTGACTTCAGACTCAAACTGAAACATTTTCCCTTTTTGGATCTTCAGCATGCTGGCTTTTGGACCGAAATATATACCATTGGCTCTCCTGGTGTCCAGTTTGCTGACTGCAGATCTTGGGACCTTTCAGCCTCCATAACTGCATGAGTCAATTCCTTACAATAAATTTATTTCTCTACATTTGTATATATCCTGTTGGTTCTGTTTCTCTGGAGAACCCTAACTAATATAGGTGGTAATCTCTATGCCTATCTTCCTCTTGGTGTGAACCCCTCTGTTCCATCTTCTAACCATGACAGAAATTAAAAGTATAATCAATAGTGTCACACTGCATTTCTCACACAGAGACAGCAAAATCCACAACATGCATTCTCCCCGATACCTATTGATCAGCCCAGACACATTAATCCCTGTTTAGCCCAGGGCTTACACCAGAAGATAAGGTAAATGTACTTAGAATAAGAAACTGATTTTTACATTTTATTAATAATCTAACTTTTTCGAAATTTAAAAAATTGAGGTACGAACCAGTCACTCACACAGCATCTATATTTAGTTCCTGCAATCAATCAAATTCTTAATGTTTTTCTAGGAGAAAGAGCTTTTCAAAACCTGACCTTGTCCAAGGTTAAAGATGCTGATTTTTAATAACTGAAAATTCCAAAATGATCTTTAGTCATTGAAAGTATTGTGAAATAAGAATTTCAATAGAGAGTTATTTTATCTTTGATATTTTCTAATGATGTATAAAAACTCTGTCCCTAGGAGTCTAGATGTGGTACTGTTGATGCCCATGAAATCAAAACAGAAAGCTATGGTAAGTCCTACATGGTACTGGAACATTAGGCTGTCTGTGAATTTTAGTCAAAGGTGACATTGGAACTTCTGGTGCTCCTTGCAAGTTTCTCCTTCAGTGCAGCTGGTTTTCACCCAATTCACTGAGAAAAGGTATGAATAACCATTTACTAATAATAACAACTTGGGTCTAATCAGCTATTTAAGCTAACTTGGGTCTAATCAGCTAGTAATAATTCTCAAGCCACTTTGCTACTTGTATTGCAGAAAGAGCTGTCGGGAAGGCATCAAAAAATGTTCCGGATTTAAGCACTTTTTGCTGGCTCAGGATAGTGACAGTGATAAAAAAAAAATGTAAGAAGAGGAATAAGGAATTGAGAGCTTTATAGCCTCGTTTTTTTTCATCATGATCTTTTTAATCTGCCACTGGCCACGTTTGCTTCTTAGTAAGAACTCTGGGTTGAAATGGAAAGACTTTGAGAGCTGCTTATGTCTTGCTCTCATCTCCTGAGGAACCTATATATGGTTTAAAAAATCTAGAAGTTCTGAAGAACAAACCCAATATGTTCGGATTCATCTATCCACTCATTTGTTAAATATTATTGACTATTTACCATGTGCCAGACTTTGAGCTAGGCAGTGGGGACACCAATCATCAACAAAAACAGACAACACCTGTCATCATGAAGCACACAATTTAGAGGGTGAGACTGATGGCCGTAAGCACATAATGATATGAATTGCAACAGTGATAAGTGTCACAAAAGAGATCTTACAGTAGGGGCATATGACCTAGTTAGGAAGGTCAGGGAAGGCCCTCCAAAGGAAGCAATGGTCATACTGATACCTGAAGAATGAGTAAGAGTTAATTAGGCCATCAGGGGAGGAGAGAATAGAACACACAGAGGAAGCAGTATGTGCAAAAGCCTGTGGCAGGAGGAAACATTACAAGTACAGGAGACAAATAGGACAAGTGTGACTGGAGCGAGGAGTTGGGAAGGTCGAGGAGGAATTGAGTGTTGGGAGAGGACAAAGTAAGAGCAGGTGGGAGACTGACCAGGCAGGGCCTTATAGGTCATGTCAAGGAGTTGTGTGTTTTTGAGCTGTACTGATGGACTCACTTTCTAGGTAATTTAATGGTTTCCATTTCCACATTTCAGAAGAGTAAATGTACTATACTAGGAATGGAGATGGGTTAAGACACATTTATCCCCCAAAATATTAGTTAGGGCTTCAACTTCAGTCCTTTGAAAATCTATCTATCACTACTGATTATTACAAAAAATTAACTATATTAAAATTAATGCTATTAATAGAAAGAGAGATTAGTTCAAAAGTTTAGGCTGTTGACTAAATGAGATTGTATTGGTGGGAAGGAGGAAAAAGTTCTCTTCAGGAATTCAAGTCTTTTGCAGTCTAATCTTAGTTGAACTGACCCTACCTATTACTACAGGCAAACTAATTAACCTTTCTTGCCTTGGTTGCTTTTCTGCAGAGTGAAGATAATGATGACCCATTAATAGGACTGAAAATCATTCTGTAAACACTAATGGTCGTATAAAATAATATAAATAATGACTTATCCCAATGCATAATTCCAATCCTTATCTCAGAATTTAAGCATCTTCTCTTTGCCTAAATAATCTCAGGTTTTATTTTTGTCAAATAGCATTGTGTGTGTGTATGTTTGGGAGTGGGAGTGTAGAAGTAAGCTCATGTTTATTTTCATACGTAGCCAAATTTGTGTTTATCGAAAAGACCCTCTCTCTTCCTGATGCCTATTGTTCACTCAGCAATACCCTGGATCCTAGATAATCACAGTCACTCCTCTTGATGGCAGCTGGTTAAATGTAGTGGGGGTGCCGCTCAGAGAGCAGGAGGGGTGAGGTGGGGTACAGTGGGGTGGAGGAATAGTACTTCTAACTTCTTTTTAGATGACAACTTCTCTTGTCAGTTAAAGAAGAAGAATACGCTTTTATTGTTTGATAAGCATATTGCAACTATATCAACTATAGTTAAGCAACTCAAATTAAATCAGCAGGCACATAGTACCATGCCAAGAAGTGGCAAAAGGAAGAGGCTCCTAGCTGGGTTTTATTGTGGATTCACTGATTCATATTTAAATTACCATCTCTTTTGTAACATTTCCAATAATTTTATGGGAAGTATTTATAAACTGTATTTCTTCAATGGCATAAAGATCCCCCATTTTTGTAATTATCCTTGGTTATCATGCCACATTTTCTTTACCAGTTGAAAGGAAATCATAATTGATCTTCTGGAACAATAAAATATTTGCAGAATTGGAATAGCTATTTCTCTGTGATCTCGAAAAATTCTCATTTTTTTTTCTTTCGTTGAAAAAAATTCATGTCTAATAAATACATAGGCTGCTTACATGATGGCACAATGACTCAGACATGAAACTGTAATGTTTTTGTTGGGATGACTTGGCCTATAGTCAGGGGCTGCCTGGAGACCCTGGTTAGTGGCCATGCCTGGCCAATGAGGCACAATGAACTGAACAGAACCAATCTTTTAGTTCTGACCCGATTCCCTTGTGTTGTGTAGCTATTGTAGTTTTCCTGCCCTTTTGTTCAAATAAAAGGGAGAATAGGCGTTTGAATTTTTTAGTGCAGGTTGAGCAATATCTGTAACACGTGTTATGTGTTTTATACAATTCTTACCTGATTGGACCTTTTTCCTCAATTCCTAGTTCCTTCTGCTCTGGCATTGTTCTGGTTGGTTCTACTGGATTTTGAGGGTCAGGGTTTGTGGTCAGATCTCTGAAAGAATTTTTCTCAGAGGTTTTATCTATGGAAAAGAAACAACATACAGATGGAAGAATATATGCCATTTTTGAGACAGTTTTATTTGACAACATAAGTTACGAAGATGCTGCTTGTTTTCCAGAATAATCTTCTCAGGAATGCCTCCCCCAGGTTTCCTCCTAAACAAAGTAAGACCTTGTACAGGAGGAATTATCCTGTAGACACCTTCAGACCAATAAAAATATACAGTGATGAGTTGCTTAATGACAGGGATATGTGCTGATATAGGGAATGTATCATTAGGCAATTTCATTGTTGTATGAATATTATAGTTACACAAACCCAGGGGGTCTAGCCTATTACCCACTTAGGCTAGATGGTATAGCCTATTGCTTCTAGACTACAAGCCTGTGCAGCATATTACTATACTGAATACCGTAGGCAATTGTAACACAATGGTAAGTATTTGTGTATCTAAACATAGAAAAGATATAGCAAAAATACAGTATTATAATCTTGTGGGACCACTGTTGTATATGTAGTCCACTGTAGACTGAGACATTATTATACAGCATGTGACTATACTTAAAGTTGGTGTATTATGTAATAAAAAGGTCACATGGGTTGGGTACAGTGGTCCATGCCTGTAATCCTACCATTTTGGGAGGCTGAGGTGGAAGGATTGCTTGAGGTCAGGAGTTCAAGACCAGCCTGAGAAACATAACAAGACCCTGTCTCTGCAAAAATAAAAAAATTAGCTGAGTGTGGCGGCTTGCACCTGTAGTCCCAGCTACGTGAGAGGCTGAGGCAGGAGGATCACTTGAGCCCAGGAGTTGGAGGTTGCAGTGAGCTATGGTGACACCACTGCATTCAAGTCTGGGCAACAGAAAGAGACCCTGACTCAAAAAAACAAAAACAAAAAAACAGTTCACATGGTATATTTCTTTTTGATATTAGTAAAGCTAAGAATAAGAATTCGTCATTCAAAAGGCATTTTTGGTTTTTCTAAAGTATTCATAATTTGTGGCTGAAATTGAAGCATCAGAAAATTCACAAAAATTAAAATAGACAAAAATGATGCGATTGACATTATTTTAGAGCTTGCATTCTAATTTTTTTATGAAATCAATTTTTGTTTTTGGTTTGATTGTCTTTAGCTATGACATTTTTGCTGAAGAAACAACACAAACTAACATATAAAAATGCAATTTCCAATTAATATAGTTTAAATTGTAATTTACTCAAAGAATAATTAACTCACTGATAAATATTTGGATTATAGAGAGGGTTTTAATGAAAGTAAATTACTTAATATTAAAAGAAAATGCAAGGGCAGGAAAGAAAAAAATGAATACAATTTAGTGGTTATTCATTAACCATAGTTTCTAATTTATTTTTAATTGGTTGTTCTGTGCTTAGAAAATTGAAATCAAGGCCCAAATCATTACTCTTATTTTATTGCAATCCATTATAATTTAAAAATTTAAGCATACTTAGTGTTGAAAATTTTTATTTGCCAAAATGATAAAGCAAGGTGTGATCACTATAAAAGTTTTCACCACATAAGACCTTTAAGATTAAATTTTCTATGATCTATATAAAAATTTTTCAAAGTACTAAATTTTCCAGGAACATGTTTCTGGAATAAAGGGAGTCATAAAATCGAGTCACTACTTACAGTTTTAAAAAGTTTTCAAATAAGAAAGTTTAAACCCCTGGATTTCCCAAGACTCTTTTCTTTATTATGCATCTCCTATTTACATTTACTTTGGAATTATAGTATTTTTGGCTAGAAGATAGAAAACACAATACTAATTATGTTTTCGTTATGTTTAAATGAAAAAGGAAAAAACCCTCAAAGCTCCCAATTTACTTGTGATACAAAGGAGCCTCAATATAATCACACCCTCGAAGTGTGTGCTCCAAGTGAAATATTGCTATGTGTATAGACTCTTACTGAAAGCTGTAGGATAGGGGACTTTTTATACAGACACATGTGGTACACTAATGCTTTCGTTAGTATCTAATAGATTTCAGAGTAAAAAAATAGCACTTTCAATATATCATTTTGTACTAATAAGCTTTTGATAAAAAGAGAGAAGAATCTGCTTTCCCTATATGTTGGATCAAGCCATATTTTCCTGTCATATTGCTGTCTAAGAAAGTGGTGGCCTAATCCTTTTCTTATATCCACAAACACTGGGATGATTACTGTAAGATATTCTAAAGTAAAGTTCTTAAAGTTCTTAGGCCACGATGTCTAGTGCTTTTATGGATGAAAATCCTTGAGATTGTATGTTGTATATACCTTTTTTTTCACATGGACAGGATCTAGAGTTATGGACTCCTCAAAGGAGTCTGGGCCAAAAAAGGTTACGGACGATTGTCTTCATATATTTTTCTAGGGACACCTACCCTAAAAGAAAATTAGGATTGAAATAGAGCATGAAATATGAGTTTAAAAATCTGAAAAAAATCCTGAATGTAAAACAAGCAGAATCTGTAAAATGTTATTTCTTAAGAGCCTTTTATAGACACTTCTAATAAAGCCACGTGGATATAAGCTGCATCAGATCCCAGCTCCGTCGCTCATTCAAGCTACAGCATATGCATTACATTTGTAGTATTACTTTTCTGCTTGTACCAATTAAATGACTGACTGCTTTGCAATAGTTCTTTTCTTCAGTTCTAACAAGGATTTTTGTTTATCATCACAACATTTGGACTAAATTAACTCTAAGTAGATCTCATCACCTTACTAAGTCTTCCCTAGACATTATCAAGCCCTTCTAAAATGACACTGCTTCTGTTATAACAAGTCTAAGATATTTATAAATTAATTTCAGCTTAATCTGATTTGTGGATAAGCACTCAATTACAAAATAAATCCCTCATTAATAGTTTATTGATGAAGACGAGAAACCAGTTATTACCTATTCTTGGATTCAAAGCAGAACAACTAAAAAACCCATGAGGACTTACAACAAAAGGATCCCTGTCAACTGTAGTTCAGTGTGGGTGTCTTTTTATCCATGCAGCATGTTATTTGTTTGTGGAAACAGATGGTCAGAGTGTTTGCATCATCCTCATCATGAAAGAAAAATCTAAAATACAAAGCAAATCTTGCTCTGGCATCTGGGTGAAGTTTTGTCAACTGCACATTGTACTTTTTCCCAGCTTCACACATGGACAGCAGGATTCTCTCTTTCATAGCTGCCCAAATGAATAGCGTTAAGTCTCTCTGCCAACTGTGCTCTTTGCACGTTGTATAGCAATTGCCAGATCTCATCAGTACACTTGATCACATTCTGCCCTGGAATGTGTGCCTGCGGCAGATAGTGAAATCTGGAATCAAAATGTTCTGACATGGTTGCTTTTATTGAATGTGCAAAAATGAGTACTATTGAGTTTGCCCTCCACACATCCAGCTGATTCTGTCTCGAGCCTGGCAGCATCTCACACTGGGCCTGTGTAATATACTTCCAATCTGCTTGGCCCCTATAGCAGCGTATCGTGGAGACCCAAGCAGGTGTGAAACATCTGCTTCTCTCTTCCAGTGAGGAAATAAGTGATGCAGAAGCCCATTAACCTTCCGCGTTTTATCAGTAACATTAAATAGATGTTGGAAAAGGAGGGATTCAAAGAAGGAATCTAACATAGTAATCAGGCTGTAAATTAGAAAGGCACTCAATTGGCTTGTATTGGATGCATATAAAAAGGAGAAGAAGAAAATGCTCTCATTGTTTGGAATGTTTGGTGTGGGGGATGATATTGTTTGGTTGAATTTCTAACTCTTAAGACACCAAATACATGTGGGTATTGTCTCAAAAATAAATCTCCTTTCATTAGGAGCCAACAGTACTTGAGTAACTAGATGTTAGATGAAATAAAGACTAAGTCTGGGCACTTTGATTAGATGCATAAGTGATACTATTATTTTCATCTCAATGAATGAACATTTGAAGTTGAAGGAATGAATAACACAGTTTTAAGAAGTGTATGATTAATGATTATTTTCTGGCACCCAAAATTGTATTTTTGACTCAGCTTGTGGTTAATTTCATAGTTGCTAGATTATACAATGTACTTGGAATAATTTTAACTATAATACTTTGATCACACTTGAAATTTTATTATATCTTTGTAGATTGTCAAATGACATTGAGAAAGTTGACAAACATTACAGCAATGCACATAAAATGGAATCTGAAAGGGCATCCATCCTAACATGTCATTCACAAGAATAGAGAAATGGCATATTTTGTATTAGGAAGCGTATGTGCAATCTATAAAAAACCTGGAGGAGAAGGACTCAGAGTAGATCAGCATTCTGGAAACCATCCCTTATGAGGAATGGTTTAAGGAATTTAGGCTTTTTTTTTTGTTAAAGTATTGAAGATTAACTGGTGATCTAATAGCTATTTCAAATTCTTTCAAGGGCTATTATATAAAAAAGAAAATAGTTTTATTTCATATATTCTAGAAGGCAGAAGAAGGACCCATCGATGGAATTTATAAAACAAAGAAAACCTCCAAACATTCTAACAACTTGTTTAACAGTAAAATGCATTGCTTTGTGAGGCAGGGAAGGCCTCTTTGGCTGGAGATTATTCAGGAGCCTCTAGCAATCTAAGCCTGCAGTAAGGAAAGGGGTGAGGGGTCCTTGAATAGGCTCAGAGCTTAGATGTCCTCTAGATAGCCTTAAAGTGCTATGAAGTCCTGAAGGTATCTTTATATTTAGGCAGATTTTGACTTTTGGATACATCATCACAAGCAAAGAAATGAACAAATCAATAAACAAAAAAGAACATGAATCCATCTAAGATAGCTTTAGTATTATGTCAGGATGGAAGGATCCTGTCCTCTCTCAATGTCATGCTTGGTTTCAGGGACATTTTTATTGAGAATAATTCATCTAGAAAAGACATTTTATGTATAGGTATTAAGGAATGTGGTGAGTTACCAGTGCTGGGTACCGAATAGAGAGCTGTAACCCTTACATCACTAATTCTCTGGGTGACTCTGGATAAGTCGCTTTTCTAT